AGGAAAGGAAGACTGAGCGCTATACCAGGACTCTAATGTTTGAGTTTAATTTTCTTCCCTGCCACAGACTTCCTGTGTGACCCTGGGCAAATCCCTTAGACTCCCTGAACCTCTATTTTACCATCTTCAAAATGGAAACAACAGCACCGCAGGGAGGGGTGGTGAGGACAAAAACCATGTAGAGGTGGGACGTGCTTGCTGAAAGGATTAGAGCTAGATCTCTCTCTCTCTCTCATGGGGAAATGAAGACAGATGACTGCTGAACAGCGGGATTTGGGTTCTTTTCCATCACAGAGAAAATGAATACTTTAGATCCGTTCTAAATAAACTGAAGTCAAACATGATATAAATAAAACACCTCAGGAGCAAAGATAAACCTTTCAGGATACCCTGAGTATGTAACACTGCTTCAAACCCCAGGGAAGTCCTTGGGAAAACTCCCATTGATTTCAGTGGGTCTTTTGCAGAAGACCCTAATCAACCCCCGCCTTCCAGAGAATACATTGAGAACCACCTCCTTCCTGTCGTGCTGGGTGCGTCTACACGTGTGCATCTACTGCACGGAAACCAAAAGTACTGCGCAGTACCGGTGCGCGTCTACATGTGCTTGCCCGTACTGCACAGTCAATATGGGGAGTCAGGATGATTTGAGCATAAAGTTGATACCTGCATCATGCACATGTAGGCAATTTACTGGACAGTAACGCTGAGTATATGGACTGACTCTGGATTAATTTTAGTCCCAAATCAGTCCACACACAGTGTTAATGCACTTTAATGCCTGCATGTGCAGACACTAGCTCATTCCTGCTTACTGTGCAGTAACTTTAAGCTGGTGTAAATGCACATGGAGACATACCCGCTGAGGAGTTTCTGCCCAGGCAATTGTGATTATGCAGGACAGGCAAGGAGGGGCCTGGCTTGTAACACTCTACCTGAAAGGACCTGAACAGGTTCACTGGTTATTTTTTAACTGATTGTATCCACAGGCTTGCATTCTCCAGATGCTCTCATCCATCAGGTTAGACATTGCACTGCTTAGTAAATACCAGCAAAGCCATCTGAGTCATCTCTGTAGGTGATCAATCAAAGCCCTGCTAGTGTACAAAGAAATCCTTTGCTTTAGCAGCAAAGACTCAGCAGCCCGCTGGTTAAGCAGCTTCTTTTCTCGTGAGCATGTTCACCACCCCCCGCGCGTTGACCTGTCCTGACAGGTGCAAGTGTGGATGGAGAGAGAGGGACTCGCACGCACCTTTGGAGCTAATCAGACACTTTCCGTTTGACTAAAAATAACTTTTGAATCAAGTGGAAAGATTTGTGGTGAGAAAAACTCCCGTGTTGTTTAAACCTTTTCCCCTTCAAAAAGCCCAAACCAGTATATTTTAGTTGTTGGCCACCAAGAAAGGGCAGGAAGAGGAAGTGGCAATGGCAGCGGCTGTTACAAGAAGGCTGAAAAACCAACTCCTGGTGCTAGGCAATAACTAGGGAGGAGTCCATGGGTCTAAAATTAAGCTGGCTCTTAAGAGATTGATTCCCAGAGGTGCCACGACTGCAGCAAGCTTTGCAGCCACGTGCACCCAACCTGACTGCCGGCCACTTGTGCTCCTCCCTTTGCTCCATGAAAGTGGCTGAGCCCGTGGGATAGGGCTCAGCTCTCCCCTGTCCTTTAAAAATCCATCAGTGAGAGCTTTCTTTGAATATGGACAACAGTGATGGCTTAACCACATTTACCAGTCTGTGTCACAAGAACGGCACTTGACTAAATCAAGTCAGGCCCTTAAAAATGATGATTTGCACTTGAAGTTGTAAGATTGCCTTCTACTTTTTGAGCCTTCGAGCCTTCCCTCCAGAAGTACAGCAGATCACAGACACCTTTCTTTCCTCCTTCCAGGAAAAAGCCAAGAATCGCATGCACCTCTTGACTCCAGGAATGGAGATATTCAGGAGAAATAACAAACACAGCCAATATTAGAAAACTCTCCAAAAAAAAAAATTAAAAAAATCAAGAGAGTTGCTAGTCCCAGCATCGTGATGCCGCTGGATGCGTTGTTCTTGACCGAAGCAACACTTTGTTAACCATCTTAGGATAGGAGGAGGAAGTTGTGTGAATAATGAGGAAGTATCAGCTTCCTTTGAAATCTCCCAAAGCAGCGCATCTGGCAACCTGCAGCCATCTCGCTGCCCCCTTTCTTTTCACAGCCACCCAGGAAATGAGCTGGCTTGCCAAAAACAAACCAAGAGCTCCCAGGGCCAGCGCTAGTATTGCACACCAGCTGCAAACTTCATCACCGGGGCTGCATAACCAGTAGGCATGAACAAACCATTGCACCAGCTGGTACGCTGTAAGGGTGACGTTCATGTCAGCGCACCCGCTAAGCAATTAACCCTCTGACCCGGAGCTAATATTACCCTCAAAGCCTTCCAGTTAGCAGAATTTGACAGTTTAATAGCAGAATCAGTACTTGAGAGGCCAGCTTCTGATTTCAGTTATGCCCATTTATATTTGCAGTAACTCTGTTGAAGTCAAGGTCAAGGTTACTATGGGACAAGGGACGTTACCCTTCAAAGGTAAGCTAAGGTGTGGATGAGCTATCCTTCTGTCAAATGCGGGGATTCGGCGTACGTGCGTCTCTATGACTTCTCTCTGACCCGAGGGATGCACCGAGGCCGATTACAAGCTCCCTTTGGGTGGAGGACATCTCTGCCCTCTGCCTCCGTACTGACTAACACTCGCAGGAGGTGACAGGAGATGAACGGCACGCCCCCTGGCACAATGCTGGGCCACGAAGGGTTTGAAAATTGTGGTGGGGGGGTCATCCTTTCAGGTGGAGCCGTGCTGAACAAAGAGAAAATTGCCACCCAGAGCAAGCCCGTCTTTGCCAGGCTGAACACCGATGAGATTGTAACACAGCCTTTCATCACTGCTCGGGTAGGCAGATGCAAGAATCACCAAACAAAAACGGGTTAGAGAGAGAAAGACTTCATGCTTCAGAGGAGCAGCCATGGGCAGGAAATAGGAGGAACGCTAGAAGATGCTGGTCCAAACCTGAACACCACTAAGGGATGGAGAAACCGAGGCAGGGAAATGCATACAGGTGGCTTTGATGGCTTGACTAATTCTTTCCTAGCCAAATTAAAGAGAGATTGGGTTTGGGGATGCTTACTGAGTCCATGCATCTGCCTGCTTCCCCTGTCCCGTATCCTCCGAGAGGGAGGACTACAAATCCACGCGAGTCTATCAGATGGGAGCTCAGAGAAATTGCTGCTCAGCACCAGCACTGGACGCCACCTTCATCCCAAGAAATGGTCCCCCGTGCGTGCAGGAAGCCCCTCGGCTCAAAACAGGAGCAGGATTTAGTCCCACAAGCTGCCCACACCCTCTCCCATGGGCTTCAGAGGGGATCATATGAGACAGGTGCTGCAGGGGCGGCCGTCTTTCACAACGGCAGTCTGTTCGCTGCCAGCAGCTGGCCACATCTGACACCCAGGGGTCAAGGTGGGAGCGATTCCTATAACTGAATCACGTGTCCTATCATAAGCCACCACGTATACCAGCGTAGCAATGCCTAAATAACACGCCAGCGTGCAAGGAAGCTCTTGGAGTCTGGGAGCCTTTATCCCTCCCCTTCAATACCAGGTAGACGGGGCAGCGGTGAAGTGAGAGGCTAGGGGAACGGTGCTGGAGCTAGCCAGAGGTCGCCCGGAGCAGCGTGTGGCAATTACACTCAAGAGCTGCCGCTTCTCCCAATTTAATCACAAGCCTTGCACTATTATCAGGGGTTTCCCTCCCTGCTCCAGCTCCTGGGGAGGCAAATGATGATAGGAGATGCTCGGCTTCAATAGCTTCTTTTCTTTAAGCACACCTCGAGCCATTTTATTTGCAGAGAACAGATGGAGAGAATGAGCCCAGTGCACCTCAAGTGCTCAAAAACTAGGAGGCCAAGAAGAAGAATCCCTAATTTATCCTGACTTTATCCCAAACTCATTATTGGACACAATTGGGCATGCACTTTGCTGGGGTTATTTGACCCCCGCAGTGTTTCCTGCCCGGAGCGGGGAGGCTGCACCCGATGATCTCACGAGGTCTGTGAATCTGTGAATTTTTATAGTGTGCTTTTTGCTTGAGATAGCCAAAATGATCGTCTTGCCTATACCATTATATGTAATATAGAGATACATCATGTAAACTATGCACCTACACAGCACTCTCTCTCCCACGCCTGCACATGCACTCGTACAAGATAGCCCAGGACCCAACACCACACCTCGAGTTCACAGCTCAGACCGGTTCATAAGCCAGAACAATAAGACAGGCTCGACAAGAAAACAGCCAAACCCCACTGGGCTCATTATTGTGACAAAGAGCAGATCCCGCCAACAGGAAAACTTCCCCTGTGACAATCGCCCATGCAGCTTCCATATAAAATGCCTGTATTTTCAACGGCGGACGTCATGGGCATCGCAGCCGCTCCACCCTGCTGAGCCCGAGCTCCTAAAATAGCCTCAGCTGTCGGGCTCCATCTCTCCTCAGAGCCATTTGCAGAAACGCGAGCCGAGGGTGGGGGGTTGCAGCTTGAATTGGCACCGGCAGGGAACAGAGAGAAGCCCAAGGGCAGGGAAAAGAAATTACCAAAGAGAAAAGCAAGGCTGAGTTTATGAAATAACGTGAAATGCAAGACAAAAAACAAAATCAGGCCTTCCCGGCACTCCGGCCACAGGCCCGTCCTCCTGCCAGGATGACAGCTAATGGGACCGGTGGTCCCTCGGACCCCAGTAATGGCCACGTTCTCCTGTGCAGGATCTTCCATCAGACTAATCAAGTGAGTCCGAGCAAATGCTGCTCACCCCAGGGGCAGTTTCTCCCTCGACTTCCAGCCCCACACCGCTTGCCTCCAATGCAAAGCTGCAGACCCTGCAATGACCCCTCGTTTGCCTCCCTCGACCATGAGCGCAGCCCACCTGCTCCCCCAAACCTGGCCGCTCCCCTGCTGCCCACCTACCTGGTGTCTTGTCAGAGTTGGAGGAGGCAAGCGGCTCTCATCGGGGTGAGGGAAAGCAGATACCTACTGAGGTGACACGAGGGGGAAGGGGGAAAAGGGGAGAGGGGGGCATAGGGAGACCTTGGGGGGCTGGTTTCCCCCCCTTTCCCCTCCAATAAATAAAACAGAAACCCCAGCGATGGTGGGGACGTGCAGCGGGAGGTCCCCTAGTCCCCTTGCAGCAGCTGCACTGCTTGGGGCTCGGGCTGGTACACCCCCCTCCTCTCGGATGCCCTCCTCCACTCAAATTGCTGACGTGCTTTGCTCTCCCCTCTGCCTCCCAGCTCCAAAATAGCCCGGGGAGTCATTTACTGGTGAGATTAAATTTCATCTGGTGGAGAGGCGAAAGGGCATAAAATTTTAGGGGACTCTCCAGGACAACCCCATGGGGTGGGGAGCAAAATCAGAGTGGGGGTGGGGAGTGCGGTGTGCTTGCACGCCTGCGTGAGAAGGGGGAACAGGCTATAGTGACGGGAAGAGGTCAGGACAGCTTGGAAACATGTACACAGGACCCAAGAGATAAGTGATTAACGGGGACAAGAGAACAGGCAGTAGGCAAAGTCTGTCAGAGGTGCACACATCTCCTTAGGAGAAACCAGAGAGACTCTCTACCACTCCAGATCCATGACAGATTTACAGACAAAATGGTCCACTCGACGTCCAGCTTCTCAAGGCAAAGGCATTTGTGGGGCCGCCTGGGAAAAGGAGCAAGTGAGCAATATTGACCGCCCCGGTCACCATTTTTCACCGAAAATTGCAATGCGATTCTGTTTTAAAAAGAGACTGCCAGTTTGGTTGCAGGGGTGGCTGGCCTAGCTGCTTTGTCTCAGGGGCTTCAGATCATATTGACTCTGTGCACACATAAAATCATTCGTTTTCCAAACTCCCGCTTCCTCGCGCGCAGCCCACAATCCAAGCATGCATCCCAGTGCGTGCGGGAGTGGTGGTGAAAGCCCTGCAGTGGGCACGCAGTGATTAATTCAGCTGATGATGCAGGAGCCAGAATAGATTCGAGCTCATTCACCCACAGCTCCATTTGCTCGGCTGGGCTCCTTGGAGCGAACAGCAAGAAATGCTTATTTTTAGCATTAAGGAAAGTAGATAACCCAATGAATACACGCTGAGGGCAGGGTGGGAAAGTAAGATATTCTGACTCAACCATAAGCATTTCTTGGAGCCAAATGGCATGTTTGAACAGTACCCAAGAATTAGACCTTTTGGGCTCTCACCTGGTCTGAGATCTGTGAAACCAGAAACAACTGCTTTGAGTTATAGTTAAACTAAGCAACCGGCATGAAACGATTACCTTTATGGCAGGAGTGCTTGGGTGGTTCTGTTCAACAAATTCATTTTCTTGGCCTGCAAGTAGGGTCTGGTTTTCAAAAGGAAGTGGATTTTCAAGGTTATAAACATATTTCTTTTTTGGCGGAGCTGCTGCAAACAGTAGGGTAGTTTGCTGTCTGCCTTAAGTTCACCAACTAGCGTCAAATTATTTTTTAGGAACCGGACACTGGTGTCTGAGCTGAGGTTTCTGAAAGAGAGGATGCTGTTTGTGACCACCTTTGTTCCAAGACTGGGAGAGCATGAAGTGCACCATCGACTAGCTATAATCACATCATTTCCCAAGACACCGACCAGCTTCCCACACTATAGAATATGTCAATGAAAAGGGGCAAAATTGGCATTGTAACTGAGTGCTTAATATTTTCCCCACAATGGGGTCTAGTAGACACCAAGACAGGAGACAGGGATTTGGGATTTCTTCTCCTCTCTGCCACTGACACCTTTTTTGGCTTTGGAAACATCACACACCTGCTTTACACTTTAGTCTTTAGAGGCAGTATGGAACAGAAATTGCATGGAAGGTCTTGGTCAACTGTCTCCCCTTGGCTTTGGACAAGCTCTTTGTGTTGACGACTGTTGGCCACCTTGAAGAAAGCAGTCTTTGACTAGGCCATCATCTGGAGGATGAAGAGTTAGAAGCAGTGGCTCTGGAGTGGCTTTGTACCTTTTTATATAGGGCCACCTGACTGATGACTTTGGGCAGTTGCCTATTAGCCAGAAGGATCTCCATAGGGTCTGGCTCTACACCACGTTCAATGCATCTAGGTCAGAGTCTCAACTGCTGCAAATCAGCACTGCTCCATTTAATGCATGATCACACCAGTTGAGAACTTCACCCAATACGAAGTATTAAAAATGCATTGTCCAGCTATGGTGATCATGGAGGCATGCATTGCATATTGTACTTGTGACAATCTGCATATCTATTGCTCCTTCATCTGATCTTGGAGCACTCTTTCAGGCTTTTGTGCATTCATTCCCAACATACCTGACGTACAAATGATATTATCATGTTAGAAAGATGCTGCAGGGATGACTCTCTTTCACAAAGGCAGTCTATTACTAAACGTTTCGAAAATCTGGATAGCTGAAGCAGTCCAAAAGCTGGCTAGATCTGTAACTTAAAACCATTGTTCGACAGTCTGACCCGTTTCTGCTGTGATGGTTTCAAATATCCTCCAAGTGCCTTGCTCACTCAGACTCCCTGCCTTCTTTTTCACCTGAGATGTGGTCCTTTTATACTCATTAGGCTTAACACGGAGAAGACGGAAAAGCGGTAGGCTTCACACAACATTCCTGAACACAACACACAATTATATTTTCAGTCTGAAGAAGCCAAATGACGGGATCAGGATCTATTCATCACTCCACTGGGAGGAGATTGTCACAGGTCTGTTTTTCCTTTTCCTCACAACAGAGGACAGAAAGTAAAGGAGAACGTGCTACCTGACTGCGAAGGCAAATGGGACGCAGCCAGACCAGATGTTGTAACCCCACCTGGCATTTGATCTGGACACCGAAGTGACCCGGGGCCACCTCAGAAAAGGGTCTAGGGCCATTTTATGACCTCAGAAGAGATCAGGACCTCATTTTTTACATCTCACCCATAAGAAAGCTCAGCAAAACACCTCTCGGCACAGGGACTCAGACAGGCGTCCTGCCTGCTGAATGCAGCTGTATGCAGCAGTCGCAGAAGACAGCTCACTACGGGCTTCCACCGGTTCGGAGAAGGCCCATGTTGTTTTAAAGAGTCATAAGGTCCAACGTTGCATTCAGAAGTCTAGGACTTGAGAAATGACCTTGCTATCATGGTATTTTCTTGAACACTTCATAGCTATTATTGGACAGCAGGCTGTGCACCAGATTTGGACCTGACCTGCCCCAGCAAATAGGTATCAATTTGACACCTCCATAGCAGTGTTACTCCCCATCAGTTCTGCTCAGAGAACAACTGCACCTCTCCCCCAGACGGTTAGCAGTCAACGGTGTTTAATTCATGCCCTCTGTAAAGTGAATGGTATATTCCACGCTAATCTCCAGGGCCTTTTTTTTTCTTTTTTGAGTGACAGAGGCAAAAGCTGTACTGATCTTCTGTTATAAACGGTGTGTAACCTTATCAGATGTTTAGCCATGGCATTATGCAGACAGCCATATTAAAAGGGAAAAAGGCCATTGTATTTGATAGGTAGTTCTGATTTATGCAAAAGCAGTCACCTACGGAGGAAAAAAGCTGTGCAAAACCCCTGAAAGCTAGACAAAACTTCCCAAAGCTATACGAAATATGCCTACATTTTGATTTCCATCATAAAATCTCAACCCAGGGTTTGTCCAAAGTTTGCACAGGACTCTGTCCAGGGCTCCAGTATCTCCCAAGATTTTTGAAGTCACCTTAAAAATCAATCTGTTGTCTCATGTCTAAACCAGGTAAATTTGCAGTCTCTCACACGTTTGATAGGAAAGGAGATAAAACCCAAAGACTTTGATGAGTCCTTTGGAGTCTATTGAGGCATTCGCATTTTGAGGCTTGTCCCAAACTGAAGCTGGGAGCAAAACTCTGAGACTCCAGCGAGGTCGACAACTGAGGAAGCTTTTCTACAACCCCCTGCTAAGTAAAGCCAACCCCGCGTGGCTGTAGTATATGAGACCAACAGAGATGCAGCGAGCGGCAGCTCCTCACTCACAAAGCACGGATTCTTCTCGGCTTAAGTGAAACAACAACGTCTTTCATTTCAACACTGCTTTCTTCAGCTCGTGCTCGGCATTTTACATGCTCTGCTTCCCTTGTAATGTATATATTGTAATGAGCCAACTGTATGCTCTAGGATTACAGAGTAATGACAGGTTTATTTTTACCAGAGTCATGATTAGCAGCCCAGCAACTTCGCTGGCTATGATTACTAAACCGACCGGGGACTGTAACTTCTCTGAACAACACAGTGAAATCCAAGAAGAACATGCCCAGTGTAGTCAGAGATGCTCAGTTTGGAGCTCCTGTTTGTTCCTGTAACGCCCTCCATGGTCAGCACCCTTTATTTCACCCTGCCTGATGAAATCCTGGTAGCCTTTTCCCTTGGATGTGGACTCCCACACAACTTGGAGATTTCTGCAAGGCGCTCCACAAGGTCGGATGCTTCGGTGTGGTCCTTCGGCAGGTGGGAGCCTCCTGGTCCTGGCTAGCCGGGGGGAGCATGCTATGAAAACTCAGCAACTCCAGTGGCTTGCATTTAGCAGCTTAGTGGAGTTCAGGCTGTTGATGCTGATCTAGATGCCCCTGTGTGATCAGCTGAGACCCCATCTCCATCCAGGGTGTCATTATCAGTGGTGACTGAATCAACCAAGGTAGTGGCACCAAATGCAAATGTCTTCATCACTATCAGTATCACTATCAGTGGTGACTGAATCAGCCAAAGTGGTAGCACCAAATGCAAATGTCCCGGGGACTTGCACACGTTCAGGGGAGGCCCTAAAGCTTTGAAATTTGTTTCCTTTATCGGTCAAACAAAATCCCTATCTGTTGCAATTCACTGCATGCTATAGGTAACGTTCCTTTCCGTGACATTTGTCACGGGGGGAGGGGTCTAAAATGAGCAGTGCTTGTTTTTTAAGAGGTTTTTTTTTGTCATTAAAAAAAGAAGTCGGTCAACAGAATGGATGTGCTACTTTTACAAAGCCCAGAGACATTGGGAGGTCACAAATACTGAGAGGATCGCTGCTCCCCACAGGGTCAGAGATGACAGCAACCAAAAGTGACATTTAATCTTCTATCAGCTTGTCTTTATTGTTAGGCTACGCAAATGTGCAGCTTTGTTATAACCAGGGA